CAAAAATAATTAGAACAAAAATAGCATGATAAAGTGATTTTAGGTCAAACAAACGATGTTGAATTAGTAAATACCACTTGACTGTTTCTCACCCCTCTCCCTTGTTTTTTTCTTTTTGCTCCAGTCCATTTAAGATTTCCTTTGTGAGGTTTAATTTTGTATTCTCTGACGAAGATGTTTTGTGCTGATCACAGTCTTACTTTGGTGATTTTCATGTACTTTTAGTTTGGCAAAAACAAAAAGACACCCCAAAAAACAACCTAATGTTATAAGTTTAAAAAAAAACCAAGTTTTGGCTTTAAAATATCAGAGCAAAAACAAAATAACGCTTGATGCCTTACCCAGATATTTTTAGATTTTAGATCAATTATTTGTCTGGTCGCCATCACCACTGCTCTTTCAAACATCTGTGGTTGGCCCCTCAGGCGTAACCTTTTCCTGTTGTTTTTCTCCTCGAAGTTATAACGCTACACGTCTGTAACCCTCCAAAAGTTGACACAGATCTGTAGAGGTTACCTAACTGTGTCCCAACACGTTCTTCTTCTGTACTGTCCTTTTTCCTAGGCTGGTCGTAGTGACCAGGTCAGTGCTCCAGACCTCCAGAGTGTCACTCTCCTGCGCTTTCCCACGGAGGCATGATGACCCACGGCACAGCGTGGGTGCAGAGGTCTCTGTTTCTGATGTGACTTCCCCCTGGTTAACCCCTGGATGTGACACTCACACAGGAGACGGGGTAGAAGAAGGGGAGAAGATGGACAACATGGACATCAGAGAAGAAAGGGTGCAGGTTTCTGCTCTGGGGTTTGTGGTGCAGATTCGCCAGGCAATATTCAACCCATCGGGGGAAAAAGTCAACAGCTGTGATTGGTTGGCTGCTCAAGTTCATGGATATGGCCCAAATGTCATTGTGGTACCTTTATACGTGTTGACATTTGTGTAAAGATTGGAAGCCTTTTGGGTGAGGTTATGGGATAGGAAATCTTAAGTTCAAGTCTTGATTACTCCTGTTTGATGACCACAAGTAATCGAAGGCTTTTCCTCATGCTTCAGGGCCCTTCATTTCTTTCGTGGTACCTCAGTACGGACAGGATGAGCTGGGGTGAACTGCAGTATGGGCCCTTACGTTGAAAACCAGATCTGATTGGAAAGCCAGGCAGGGACTTGGGGAGGGCTGACAAAGAAGGGACCCCAGGCCCTGGACCAGACAACTTTCCTTCCTGCTGTATCAGGTCGTAACTACAGAAAATATTGGTGAACACATTATGAAACTGCCCCGCTCACATCACACTCATTCATGCATGTTTTCCCGACTTTACAAGCGCACTGCACAGAGGGTATCAGAAAGGCATTTACCTGCCTCATGAAAGAGAGTTTCATCCTCCAGTAATGTACACAAAGCCAGTTAAAAGTATCCTTGTGCCCGCTTGTGGCCTTCAGGAAAGGTAAAGGAAATTTGGCTCAAGACCCTGGCAAATGCTTCCAATCCTGCAGAGAAATACGATGGAATTGTTTTCAAAGTGACTGTGACTTATAAACATGGTAGAATTACCAAGAAATTTTTCTGTTGACTTATTATATGGTTAATATTTCACAGTAGAAAATGAGGTTGGTTCTAAGGAAAAGAAACATTCTGTAAATATTTTCTGAATACCAATTATGATGCCTGCTTCTGTTCTAGATACTGAGATACGGAGGTAGGGTAAACATCCCTGTTCATTCAGGTACATACATATTAATACTAACTGCTTTTAAAACCCTTGGCTTAAGTAGGAAAGTACAGAATTCTCAGGTATCTTTGCAAATATTATCTCAGTGACTGTAAAGTAACCCCTAGCATTTTCTATCACCCAGTTCTTGTATATGTTCTAGCTAGTCCAATAACTCCACAATGGAAGAGAAATATCAAGAGGCAAGAAGAGTAATTTAAACATCTCATGTTAAAAATGCATGCTACATCTCATAAATATGCCACATGCGTCTTTTACATTCCTGTGGCTTTCTTTAATCTCTCCATCCTTTAATTATTAACAATGTATACTTTTTCACAACTGAAAAATGGCAACAAAAGCATTTCCAAGTAATTAAAACCTGTAGCAAACAGACTTTATACGAGAAAGTGGTTCAGATGCCTCATTTTGCAAATGTGGAACATGGAATCCCAGGGGGATCCAAGGTCATTGCAGCAAGTGGTGGAGGTTCTGGGACAGAGACCACAGTCATCCCGTTCCCAGCCCAGGTTACATTTCTTCTTTGTCGGTAAACATCCTGAGTGAACATCCTGAGTGAACTCATAAATTTCTCCAGTACTGATAAGAGTTTTGACTTATAAAAATTACCGAGGACATGGCTTTTGGAAAGACAGTATTACATTCTTTTTTGTAAGAAAGCGTTTTGTTGTCATTGTTTGTATCCATCTAGATGTTTTGGTTTACGATCTGCATAGTGCTCGGGCACTGACTAGAGCTGTCAAGAATGTTTCCATTCAATGTTAAGAGTTTTCTGAAACAGTTTACTACAGAAGACATTAAGATAAAAACTAAGGTCACTTCACAAACTAGTATCAAACTGAAAAAAATGATAATAGCAACCCCAACAACTGTTTCATATATATATTAGTGCTTCTAGCTGTGCTGGGCATTACCCTTAGCTTTTGATGACTTGCTTATTTAATCCTGTGAATCAGATGCAGTTCTTAACGTTTTCATCTTATAAGTGGGAGGCTTGAGGATTCATCTCTGGAACTTAGCTTAGAATTTAAACAACTTGTCCAAGATTGCCTAGCGAAGGCATGAGAGACTCAGAATTTGAATCTTTATCTGATGCAGGTGCCCCCAGACTTTAGCAGTATATAATGATGATAACTCCCCAAATTTAGAATTCCGAAAGTTCGTTTGCTGATTTTTTGGACGTTGGATACATTTTCGCACTGAAGCAATGTTACCAAGTTCACTTAATCCACAGAAGAGGCTGAATAACATAATGGAGCTATATCATGTTTTTAAACATTTTGTCTTAGGGACCAAAGTGTTTATGCCCTTATTTTTATGAGAAAATTAACTTTCTCTTGAGGAAGGAGAGCAATGAGACTGGAAATGTTCTTTAGCCAGCAGTTTCACAGGCCGGTTTCAGTCCTGTCACCAGAACTCTAACCCACTCCCTCCGTCCCCTTCCCCGGGGAACGTGGTTTGCAACGGGAGCCACATGACCCTCCCCTTGCCTCCAACTAAAGGCCACTCAGTGTGAGGGCCTGGCCAGGATTCCTGGCTCATCACAGACTAACCCTACCCCAGAGCACCAATTCCTAGTTAAGTACCTAGTTGCGTTCTGTAACTCCAGGTAACCCGGCTCTCAGGTGGGTTAGCTCAGACCAGCCTGCAGTGAACTTGGAACCTAACTGAAGGGCCCAAGGATGGAGTACCACTAGATGACCCCAAGTTACTTCTTGTTTATAATTCTAAGCGTAGAACAGCTTGCCCTTCTAGAGTGATTTCTAGATGGACCCATTTCATTTCTGATCATCAGATGGGAGATCTGGATTCTGGGAGAAGGTGTTCAGTGCGCAGACTGCAGTTAATATGGCTCAATAAAAGTTTACCCATTTTGGTGGTTCTCAGTGCACATCAGTTAGTTGTATGTTGGATTATTCTGGAATAGCCTCTGGAATTTCAAAACTTTAACCAGAATATGTTCATTTGAATACAGCTCAAAGCCCACGAACCTGTTTCTTCCAGTTGTGTGGACTGTTATAGCGTATGTAATCCGTGTCGCCTGTCTTACTATATATGGCATTTTCCAGAAGCAATTTGACTGTCAGAAATCATCTAATGAGTAGCAGACATTCTTGTTATAAGAGAGACAGGTAGGAAGCTGGAAAAGCTGATGTAAAGATAGTGTGTTTTCTACTTTGATAGGGAGCTGTCTTGTGGCTTCATGTTCTTAAAACTGCACTTTTCTCTTCTCAAAAAAAAATAGCAAATGTTAATCTTTTGCCTTAATTATCTGATTGTTGATTTATTTAGAGATAGTCAAATGAATTCATAAACCAAAGTGCAGCGTAGTGATTTAAGTGAGCACTTTGTCGTAAATTCTCATGCCTCTGTGTTTTGGGGCGGTGTTTATTTCATAAACTGGTTTTATATCTCTGGCATAATCAGAATTCTGTGACTGAAATAAGTAGACTTTAGAATAAAAGGGTTTCTCTGTACTGCTGCTAAGATACCTCCTGGATGCATAGAACTGTGAACGGCTCTCAAATACAGCTGGTTTTTCTCACCCCTCTGATGATCAGTACAGTTCAGTCCCATCAGTCTTTATGGAGAAAGGCCCTACTGTGCGCTCGCCATCCTGTGAGATGGTCAGTCAATATTTGTAAAGGAGTAAATAACTTTAGTGCAGCAGAATAACCTCCCGTGCTCCACAGCGTACGTGACAACAAGTTTGAAGGGTGAAAATTGGAAACCACTGAGCTTTTCAGCTGATCACAATCAAATCAGAACACATCAAAACAGCTGGTATTCTGTGACTCAGAATCAATCAACCGGCTTTGAAGCACCCCATACTTCTTTATTTCTCTTTACAGTTTCACAGAAGAGATTTAAACCAGCATATGTCCTTTCCATTTGGTTAAATCCCTGCTTTGAGCTGCTTTGCTTTCATACTCTAATACCAACGAATGAAACTGAGTGTACTATAGAAGAAAAAAATAACGGCTAGCATTAAAATGACATTTTTAACCGACGTGTTGCTCCATTTGTGTTAAATAAACCATATGCTCAAATAGAATGCCCTAGAAGAAACATGAAATTTTGAGGTTATATTATGGAATCAGGATAATTCTGCATCAGCAGTATTTAAGTAATTTATGAATGTGGCAACGGCTTTTGCAATTTTCTGTCTTAGTTTATGATGAATAGTTTAATGATTATACAAATAACAGTATCTTGGGAAGATCAAGATTAAGTTAGTAAATGAAAGTCACACGTTATTATGTGCTGTGGTTTCTCACACTGGCTCTTCTCTCTGTCCTGATAGGTACCTATCACACCATTCTTTGGCGAAGGTTATTCAGCAGTTGTGATCTCTCCCAGTCGAACTCTCTACAAATTATTATCTCTGGACTCCCAGCTGACACCCTGCCGGAGGCAAGAGCTACTAAGCCAACTGGAACTGTGCCTTTTCTCTTGTCAAGGTTTTTTTCTTACACAGGAAAAAGAAAGAAAAAAAAAAAAAGATGAAGTTGGGCAAAGTGGAGTTCTGCCATTTTCTGCAGCTAATAGCTCTTTTCCTGTGTTTTTCCGGGATGAGTCAAGCAGAGCTCCCAAGGTCCAGATCAAAGCCCTATTTCCAGTCGGGGAGGTCCCGGACCAAGCGCAGCTGGGTGTGGAATCAGTTCTTTGTGCTGGAGGAGTACATGGGATCAGACCCCCTCTATGTAGGCAAGGTAGGGCGTCTGGCCTTCTGAAGTCACAGGGGATGGCTGTCAGTGTCTGAATGGAGACTTGCTCATTTTTTGCTTTGGGGTGGGAAACGCAAAACTGTCACTCCTGCGAAAAAGTTTATGAGGTTTTTGGCATTTGTTAGCCAGGCTAAAACTTCAACCTAGATGTGATTGTCAGAGTGAAGCTGCGGCTCAGGGAGTGGCGCTTTATTCCTAGAAACAGAGGAGGACTTACAAGTGCCTAGTTGACCATGATTGTGGCACGTTAGTAAAAGTGCCATTTCCAAAATTGGAACAAGGATGTTCACGAATAAGTGAAGAGTAGTGGGTTCTCACAGCCAGTTGACTTTTTAGCTTCTTTCTTGGGGGTAAATGATGCTCACGCTGACTTGATGCTTACACATCCTTTTCCGATTCTCGCTGTGAAAAACCTGCAAAGTGTAATTATGGAGCCTGTTGTCTCTAAGTTATGACCAGTTCAAGCCCATTTTTCTCAGTGGTGGCCTTGTTTTAATGGGTGTTCTTTCATTTGCTTTTTAAAGTGACATTTTGGTTAAAAATGGATGTGAAGAGAAGTCAGTTAGAGGTGACATTAGATGAACAGTGGGCAGTTTGCGGTGTGTTTATCTGGTGGCCAAGTGGTAGCCAAACTGAGATTTTTTTCCCGCAGCTCTTTCTGCCTGTGTGTTTGGGCAGGGAATTCCATCTGAGTGCCTCCTGAACTGAAGGGCGCTTCAGGGGAGCCTGGCCCGGCCCCTACCATCCTGGTATCTGCTCCTGGTCTGTTGCAGGTTTGATTATTTTCATGTCCGGAAAGATTTCCGGAGTGTTTCAGCTGGGTGCTGAGCATGGCTGAAGGGTTTCTCAGTCAGCGTGTTGGCAGAACCTCTGTCCGTCCGCATTTCCACCCTGCACTTTGTCAGTTTTACTGGTGAAGTGAATCACAGCAAACTGATGGATTTATCCCTTAGTGAATGTTCCGCTGTGAAGGACTGAGGAAGAATCCTTGCTGTTCATTCCAGGGGTCAGTGTTTCATTTGAATAAACCCTAAGTAAAGGTAAAAATTTTATTTTTGTTGGTAGGTATCTACAAAAAGCAAAGTAAGCTTTATCACATTTATTCTTATTTTCCCTTCAACGTGTCTACATTGTACAAACACTGACTGATGCTACGTTGAAAACAAAAGGATCTGAACACATTAAAGGTTTCTAGGGTTGTGGATTAGGATTTATTTTAGCCCAGTCATAGCGTTTTTCTGCTCCAAGAAAGGGTGCACAGCGGTGTTTTTGTGTGTGTGTGTTTATTTCTTGTCATAACCATTCTGCTTTTATCAAAGCGCCATCATATAGGCTTTCCATGTGCTCAGTCTTTCATTCTCTCGTTTTCTTGTAAACAAAGTGAAAGCTGTAACCTAGTACGATGTTACTAACAATCTAGCTCATAATTTCATTCTTCATGAACATTTGAGAAATCCATCAAACTTTTTCAGTGGACATTTATCGAGGTCTACAATATTCAGCTACTTCATAAAGAACCAGTAGTCATTAGGTGAAATCACGCTTTTGCACAAATGTGAAGTTTTTCCAAAGATGACCAAAATATTCCCATCAATTTGGTTTTAAATATAGATGCTTGGGTGAGGTTGATGTTTTGAAATCAACATAATTTAAAAATTTTAAAAACGCCATTATTTTAAATTTTGTAAAACTTCGCCATAACAATTCAAAATGCTTACATTGAAATAATCCCTGGAAGTCAGTTTGAAGTTATGAATGCATGTCTCTAGGTTGCTTAAATCCCAAATGCACATGAAGTTCCAGGGCAATGCTGATGTTATTTTTCTAAGAGAAATTGTGTGGCTCCTTGATCAGATAACAAATATGCTGTGCTTCCCTTTCAATTAATCAGAGACGATCACTTAGCAGATTTTATGTGACAGAAGACGAGTTTTTGCTTATCTCCCGGAGGCCACGTACTGGGCTTTGAAAACTGCCGTTCACAGTAAAACGTTCAGGATGGAAACATTAAAAAAAAAAAAGCAACCAGAAACCTCTTTATTGAATAAAATACAGAAAAAGGGCAATAAAATAACTTGAAATGGAGAGAGGATTCGTAGAGAAGAGAGACAGGTGTGAGATGCCTTAAAAGAAGCAATTTATATTTGTTTGAGAAAAGGTGGCAGAGGACGTGAGCAGTTTAGATCGTATTTATGGGATGATTCAATGAGTCTTTTGGGTTGATGGTCTGAATAGGTAGTGTTATAAGAATAACTTTTATCTCAGTGAAGTTTTGATCACTTGGGTGTAGAATCGTAGAATACATACATTTTTCTTCCTTTTTTTATAATGAGGGAGGTAGTGGCTATGACTAGAAGTTTTTATAGGACAGAGAGAGCAGAAAATTCTAGGTGAAGATGTGGAACAGTGGATAGACAGATAATCAAAGGAAGAAAGGAAGGAACCTAGTCATTACTTTTCAAGACACGTATTTAACCCATACTGGCTGGGAAGCAACACACGTCCTGATAAAATCTAGCTGTTTGGGTAATTTGGACAATAGGAGTGATGACCTTGCCACACTTGATAGCCTGGTTTGACCCTGTAAGGGCTAAGGACACTGTGTGTCAAAGTGACGTCCGTTTTATTGCTGACTGCCACTTCCTCCTACTTGTTTACCTTTGGTTAAGTTGCCTGATGTTACCAAATTTGAGCTTCGTCATCTGTAAAATGGGAACGATACCTACAGTTCAAGTCTTTTACTGAGAACAAATGAGAGCAAACTGTTTGGAACATACATTCAATTAATCTAGACATTATTTGATTTATCTACTTCCCTACCTGTTAGTTATAAATTAACTGAGTTATAGATACTGTATTGTGTTATGTGTCCAATGTTATATTTGTGACCTTACAGATGAAAGCAGGCATTATGTTATGTCCTAAACAGTATTTAAACTCACTGTAGTTAGTTAGAGGGGTGGTCTGTAGTGGGTGAGGTTGGAAATACAGTGTGGCTTTATATTTGGATAAGACTAGACTACGGCAGAGATAGGGTTAGTGGGTAAATGATTCCATCTTTAAACGCAAGAGCTTCAAATGTCAGAGAAATCATGTCTAAATTTTTTTTTTCACTTTCAAATACGGAGACAATACTCATGGCTGGTATCTAACAAGGTCAGTTAAATGATTCTACAGTAAATAAAACTTGGTCTTTCAGACATTGGGGATAATGAGGCCACAAAATGGCTTATGGCTTTATTCTTTTGCCGGTTTACTGGGTCTGTTTACCGTGACAGCTCAAGACTGAGGTAGAGCAGTCTGTTGGAGGAGGGTCGGGGTGCTGCTTGAAGCCTCACCGGGAGGTCCCCAGGGCACAGACATGTGGGCTGGGTTAGGCTCTGACCTGGTCATTAGCATCTCATCGTTTTCTTGGGATACAAGTTGATAAACTGCTGAGTCTTAATGTATAGACTTAAGGAAAGCGTCACTGGTCATTACTCCGATGGAGGGTTTTTTTTTCCTATTGAGGTGTAATGGACATATTACATGATATTAGTTTCAGGTGTACAACCTAACGATCCAGTCTTTGTATGAATTGAGAAATAATCACCACAATAAGTCTCATTAGCATCCATCACCATACATAGTTAGAAATTTTTTTTTGTTTTTGTGATGAGAACGTGTAAGATCCCCTCTCGGCAACTTTCAAACGTGCAATGCGGTATTAACTCAAGTCATCGCGCTGTAGGGAGCACTGTGTTAGCAGGGCACCTTTCCTTAAGAGCACTTCTTAATTACCAGTCGTGCCATTTCCCTGCCCTTTGACAGGGACAGTGAAGTGGAGAGTCCTCTCTTTTCTCCCTGTGACTTCGTATCACCCCGATGTGACTCTCTGAAGTCCACGTGAAGGAGCCGTTTCCGGCGATCTCATTGCATCACTCTGCACTTTTCTAGTCCAGTCTTTTCCTCACTTTGGCATTTCTCACTCAACGTCCCCTAGCTATCTGACAAAAAGTTCTGTCTACACAGCCACCCAGCCTCTGTTCTGGGTGTTAAGTGTTTTTCATCTCTGCTCACCGGAATGGGCTGCCGGTCGTTTGCAGTACTCTGGGCCATCACTTTCCCTGAAATGTGTGTTTCGTGCCTCTTCCACAGTCTGCTTCTCGAGCTGTGAACATCACTCTTACCTATTCTGCTATTCCCCTCTCTTCCCTCCTCATTCGGGGAGAATTTATGCCTATTACCCTAGTCGAAATCAAACACATAGAAATGCAGCGTGGGATTCACTCTGCCTTCAATTTGAGCTAGCTTGAAAGTGTTAGTGAGCATTTTCCATGCATGTCATTACCCCTTGGCAGTCTCTCACTAAGGGAGTCTGTCTCCTGATCACTAAAGCTCCAGTCAGGGTTCCTGAAAAGAAACCGTCATCTTGAAAATAGTTTAGGTTAAAAACCAGGTTACAAATCAGATCCCTTAACAGAGCAAATTTATATCTAATACAGAAAAAGAAAATAATCCCCAATATTAAGGATTTAGGGAAGAGCTATCTGTCACGGTAAAATTTACATCTTCTGGATACCGGTGGGAGAAAACAGCAGACATGTCCTCTAAATATGTAGATTACCTGGAATTGGCTCTAATCTTAGAAGAAAGCAAATTGTTTGTTTTCCCTATGTGTGCACAGAAAACCCAGCTCCGTAACGTCTTTATAAGCAGAGTGCGTGGTAAGGACCCTTGTTCTCATCTTCTTGTTACTTTGCTGACAGAAATGTGGAACTCCTGGTGGCTTCAAAAGGAATTTGGACATGGATTAGCTCTGTGGGATGCAAATAAGTTCAGACTTTTAGAAATATTTTTTGGCAGCTATTTTTAAAAACTTACAAAACTCTGGGAGAACTCTAAAGTAGTAGATGCATTTTCTTCATGTGAAATCAACAAACCTAAGTCTTGGTTTGTTCTTTTAAAACCATAATAAAAAAATATAGTAGATTTTGACACGGAAA